GGGGGGGGGGGGGGGGGGGGGGGGGGGGGGGGGGGGGGGGGGGGGGGGGGGGGGGGGGGGGGGGGGGGGGGGGGGGGGGGGGGGGGGGGGGGGGGGGGGGCCCATCCTGTAAATCAGGGCTGCCCGAGAATGCAGAAAATGAATTTCCCAGACACATTTTGGTAAAATCCCCTAACAATTGAAGATATGCTAGATGGTAAACGACACATCATTTGAAATAGTTGTTGTACAAAATTTGTTGTTCAAAACGTCAGACCCATTCTAGAAAGCAAATAAATGTGACTTAACAATTCTTCCTGATAAAAACTTCATTTTCCCTGATGTTTAAAAATTCCCTGATATTTCCCGATTATCCCTGACTGCGGCAACCCTGGTAGATGTGATCAGTTTAATTAGTTACTTAAAGGAGAGAAAAAATAGACAGCGAAAGAAAACTAAACTTCTCTAAAATGAAGAGTCTGCTTGAAACTTGAGAGTGGTATAAATGAATGTGTAAGTCGAGTTAGCCAGGTCTATTTGATTTCTAATAGAGAGTTACACTAAACTCATCAGAGATTTGAAGAAAAACCAGACTTGCTTCTTTCCTGTAATTTAATTCGATTAATTTTGGTATCAGTCTGTCAACAACCTTCTCATGATAAATATTGGACCAACGGTGCTTCTTCTGCCAAATTCTATTCTTTTGATCAAAAATAAACAAAGCTAAAAAATTATTTGATACCCGTACTCTAAAATAAAACCACCAGGGATAGAAATTTCAACATTAACAAAATTGGATAAATAATGCGTGTAACTTAAAGCTAAACGTTTATTTTACAGGCACTTCAATACAAAATCACTCTCCCAAAAATTTTGTGTGCCAAAAACTAAATATGACAGAAAATTGATTTGGCAATCTTGTTGAGTCACTGGCTTACTCAAGTAGCCCCTATAAATGAAATTATGAAAAAGTTGACCAACCTCCTGCGCCGCTTAATTGAGATCTCTCTGATTTCAACAGCTCTCTCAAGCTGCTCTTTAGCCTGTTTCTGCACACGCTCCTTTTCTGCCCGTTTGTCCGCTTTCACTAAATTTTTAAAACTTTAGTCAAGATTGGATGATGAAACAAATACCATTTTCGAGATAGAATTTGGGTTTTGACAAACTTTAAAGAGGGATATTCAAATAAAGTGCACAACGTGATATTCTGCAATTGCTTTTCACATGAAAAAGTCTGAAGAGGCTAATGAAGGAATCTGAATATTCAGTTCAAAGGACCATTAAAAAGACAAGACTTTATGCATTAAAGGACCTTATTCCAAATGGGCCATTTTCAACCCCAGTCTCATCTTCGAAATATTTTCAGAGTTTATAGAGGATTACTTTCCAATTCAAAAACACCAATGATTTTACAAATCGGATAATTAGGGTGGGAGGGGGTTAAAGTTAAAACTTTGAACCAGCATTTTGTGGACAATTTGTCGTAAAGAAATGATCTTGGTCTCGAAGTTAAGAAAAGTTATCAGCTTCTGGGTGATACTTACAAAATTGGTCTTTTTGAAATTTTCATCTATTGCTGCCATGTTGCCGTAGTTCAAATTATAATTTTTTTAAATTTTGAGCTACGGCATTAAAAGGATCCCACAAATCATAACAAAACTATTTTCTTGTGAAAGTAAACCATCTAAACTTTACAACTAACACAAAATCATCCTGGGAAAATAATTAAGAGCGGAGTTATGATTTCTTAAAGTTGACGCGATGCACAAAGACCTGGCATTTAATACCTCCTAAGGTCATTTCTGGACTAAATCGTTTGAGAAAAACGACAAGATCAGGACAAAAGAATACTATACAATGGATACAGGGAGCTCAAAGTTTCAATCATAAAACATTTATGTACATCTCAATGATTCGCTAGGGAGAAATAAAAGTCTTATAATTTAGAGGTCATCATGAATTTTCAATTTTAAAATTTTCTTCTACCATTGCCAAATTGTATCGTGGCCAAAAATTTTCAATACATCAGATTAACACCTAACAGCTCTTATTTGGAGAAAAAGAGAAATTGCTCAGAAAAAGTACAGTCTGAGCTTCAGAAAAATCCAAGTCCATCCCAGAGAAACAGTTTGCAGCAGACTTATAGATTTTAAAAATTGATGCAGCGAGCATCATCTGAGCCTCATCCTGTAACATTGATAAGCCTTGATTTCTTGGTTGTCTTTGAATCATTTTCTTGAGGAATGAACTAAAGAGAATAAAATTACAAAATCTTGGGACTCGTAGTGGGGGAGCATGAGTGATCTTGGGACTCAGAACATACCAGGTACCCACGCATTGTGTCAACTTTGAAAAATCATTACTCTGCTCCAAATTTTTTTCCCAGGATGAACTTTTGCTTGTCTTAAAGCTTAGATCGTCTGCTTTTATGAGCAAATATTTTTATTATGTTTCATGGGAGCCGCTTAACACCACAGCTTAAAATGTTCAAAAGAGAAAATTTGTGCATTTTGAAATGATAGATGAAAATTTCAAAATAGACCAAGTTTGTAAATATCACCGAAAGGCTGACAATTTTCTTTGAATTTTGACACCACTATCATTTCTCTAAAACAAACTGTTCCCATAATATTCCAGTTTAAAATTTAATTATGACCCTCTCCCACCCTAATTATGCAATTTTAAAAATCATCAGAGTTTTCAGAATCCGAAAGTGATCCTCTATCAACCATGAAAATATTTCGGAGATAAAGCCGAGGTTGGAGATGGCCGATTTTTAATGAGTTCCTTCGAAATTCGGCTCTGCAGATCAAGAAAATCATTCTATCTGCTTCAGGCCTATGCCTATAACTTACTTGGATTAACCTCATCGTTTGCATACAATCACTAGTTTATAAAACTTTGAGCATTTGGAGATCTACAATTATGACTTGGTTTCTTCGGTTTTTTTCTTGAGCATAAAAACGTCAAGTCCTATGGAAGTTAAAATTTTAGGATACGGAAGTGACCTGTTGTGATGCTGAAGTCAACATTAATGTGTAGAAACAACTCTCACAAAGAACAGAGGCTTTGTATGAATGGTTCTGGCACACATCACTCTTCATGTATTAATTTTCATGACCATTTTTCTCTACCCGCGTTTAATTGAGAATTTATGGAAAGCACCAGAAGGAATTTCTTCTCTGAATTTCATGACACAAAGAAAACGAACGATGAGGATGTTCGTAAGATAATGCTCCAGAGTCGCTGAGAAAAAGTCTTCCTCATGACAGGGTCAGTTCCCATACAAATAGAGAATGGATAAGCCATCAAGTTGAGATAAAATCAGAATACTGACATTGACGATTCAATAGTGCTTGCATTTTCTTTTTGAGGCGTTCTTGCGGTGTTAATTTTGAACTACTCGAATCAGCCCGCAACGATGATTGACCCTGAAAAAACACTATTGTTACAAGTGCAAGAAAAACTTGAAAATTGGTGAGGGGGTTGGTCAAAATTATCATGCTACATTGGAATCAGGGAGAAAGATTTAAGGGGTATGAGCTTACTTTACATCAGGAACGCTTTCTTTTAAAATACTAGGGTTTTTCAATTGTTTAATACGTAGCTCACGATGGGACTGAAAGAACTAATTACCTTGGCTAAAAGTGTTTCCATTTTTAAAAGATGCAATACAAGGGTAGCTGTACATTTATACCTTGAAGAGTATTATTTAGAAAATTCAGGTTAAGCATACCTACTTCACAGGGAGATGAATAAGAGCCATAAATTTAGAGGAAAATATAATGTGCCTTTTGTGGATTAAAATGAGAATTTTGAAATACTGACTTGCAGGCCTAGTTTAATAGTTTCTTTAATATCAATTGTGACACGTCCCATGTGTCGGTGGAATATTTTTCATTAAAAGCCAATCTCATTAACAAATTCAAAGTCATATGGATTGTTAAGAGCTGACACTGACAGATAATAAGTGTTACAAATATTCTTATGCTAAATTGATGCTGTCTCTGAATCTATCATACAGCAAATTACAAAAATTACTATTGAAGATTGTAACACAGCTGTACAAGGTCAATTTTTTGGCGTGTTTTTGCAAAAAATAAATAAAAAAAATTCTGACAAAAATATGAGGGGTAGTGAACAAATGAAAAAAGAATTAAAATAAAAGATAGGACAAGAAAAAAAGGAAGAAAAAAAAATGAAGAAAATTCAGGAAAGAGTAAAAAAAAAATGAGAAAATGCAGATGCAAAGCAGTGAGTCTAAAACTCATGATCTCCATTAATTTTTTTTTTTTTTTCCGAGCCTTTTTGAGAAGAAAAGGAAATCAGCTCACAGACCTGAAACATTAGTCTCATAGACAAGCTTGGTTTATTTCTTTTTCTTTTCTGGGGGAGTAGGGGGGAGGAGGGAAGAAGCATCAAAAAAATACTCAATTCTTGCAATTTCAATAGTGTAAAAAAAAGTATTCTTTTAAAACTTCTTGCCACTCATCTCTCTTTAGCACCAACACCTATCTGAAGGAATTAAAATAGTTTACACGTGCATACAGTTAAACCTGTAGGGTCAGTTTCATTTTACATTTCTTTAGTGTAAGTGCAGAACAGACTTAACATGGAAATGAATGAGCCTCTCAGTTAAAGACGAAGGTATAATCGTCGAAACTCAGATAAATTTCCCTGGTATTTTGAAGAATCAAAGTTACACTTTACATTTAGAATAATAATTTTCTGATAGTATCAGGCATGTTCTGAATAACATGACTGCATAAATTGTGTCTATCTTGATTTTAGACATGAGTGACAGTCATACTCTCCAGCCGAAAGGAGCTGTAACTTTTTTTTTTAGAATGTGTGATAAATTTATGTAGTGAGTGACGGTAGTTCTTAATTGAAGAGTAAGTTCCTTAACAGCATACCTCCATTAAATGAGATTTGAATCAATTTTAACACCTGATTTTTTTGTGATGTTTTTCCGACCAGAAAAATCCAGTGGTTTTGACCACAAGATTCTAACCCAACTTCTTGTTGAATGGTATGTTAAGATGGTATTGGTGGTACACATTATTGTAAAGAATGACTTCAGTCATTGGGGTGTTTAAAGGGTGATATCTTTGACAACATTGGATAAAGAAAGTTGGTATTTAGACAAAAATCATTACTTTTTGTTCATCAACCCCAAAACCATCTAAACAAAATTCGATAACTGAAGGAACAGACACATTTTTATCATTAACATGAATGACAGAGACTCTAACTTTAATGGGTTTGTAAGGTTCCTGGCAACTATTATAAATTTAAATTTTTGACACAGGAAACACTCATCGAATAATGGAATACAAAAGTCATTCATGACAATTCAGCAATAATACTGAACAGCAGCATAACTAAAAATGAGCTGCAAGCCAAAGAAATGCAGCTGGTTGTGAACAAGAATTAATGAAAAATTAAAAAAGGACTGAGTATTGATTCTTACTGACTTTGGATCTTCCTCTCGAATTACCAAACGAAACTGACCTACAGAAACAACAAAGAAAGAGACTAACTTTTAGCGAGTCACGAATATTAGTTTGGTACAAAGAACAAAAATCTAATTAATTTAATATACATAACCAGAGATAACAAAAAAAGTATAAAACAGATGGGGAACCGAAATAACAAACTGAGAGCTAATATACGAAATCCAGAAAACTGGAAAATTAATAAACTCAAACTCAAAAATTAAAATTAAAAAAAAAAAAATTTAATTTTGTGAGTTTGGGTTTTTTTTATCTTCCAGTTTTTTTTATTTTGTACAATTTAAAATAAGATTGTTCACATTGTGAGTTTCATTAGACTTAAAACCTAAGAGTAAGTTACTACCGTATACACTGCAGTACACATGCGTTCCAGACTTGAGACCTAGTTGTTTCGATATGGAATGACTCAGTTTGAAAATCAAAGAAATGCCCTTTTCGCTGATATTTAAGACAATCGTTGCTGTACAACTATGATTGGGGTTTCCATTAATACATTGAGAAAATACTAAAAATGCTGAGGTCGTAAAGAGTCCTCCTTGTTTTCTACAGAGGATGACAGCTTTACCACTCTGTTGCGCCCATAAGTTTTGCTTCTATGTTTGTTTTTTTGTACAACCCAGATGTAGAGTTATTATCACTTGAGGACTCACTAAGAGCCTGCTGCAGGAAAGAAACCATTACATACAACTAGCATGAATAAAGCTTGAGCAAGTATGCTTAACTGATATGTTGTTCCTGACTCGCTGTAGTACCTCCAGCTCTTTACTTAAGCTCTAAGTAAATTGGAGAGCTCTCATGTTTTAATTACAAAGTAAAAAAAGAACTCACCTAATGGACTAGGGAAAAACATAAGAGATTAGTGATTGACTTACTGATGTGAAGTTGATTTATTTGCCGAAGTATTGTTTTCATCCTCAGAGGATACTTCTAATTCGGAAGAATCGGAATCTTTCTTATGCCGTCCATAGTACCTGGAATCCCGGATAAAATCAAGATTAAAGGCTAAGATAGTTCAATGCATCTTCAATATGTAATGGAGAATTTGCAACAGTTTGAAATTTGGTGAATTTCATGTTTAAAAAAAACTGCAGAAATGACCAAGCATGAGAATATCTTTGGTTCAAAAATGAAAAATTAATTGCGAAGATGTGACCAAAAGACCAAATTGGCCAGAATACATGGGTATAATTGGAAAATGCCACCTAATGAAGTAACGCGGCAGTACACTTTCTCACTTATGAATCTTCCCACTCAAAAAAAAATATGAAAAATACCTCAAACTCGGGAAATTAATAGAAGTCAGATGAAGAAATAGAAATTTGTAAGCAAATTCTCCATTGCTCACAATGCTTAAAACACAAAGAATAATTCGAACTTGAGACACTTAGTATTTGTTTGGATGAAAATATCTTATCTTTATTTGTTTGGATGAAAAGATCTTATCCTTATTTCTTACTATCATTATTTCATATGATTAATTACTTGAATTGAGAATACGGTACTATCTCCCTATAAAGATCGGTAACGGACCGCACGAATTCAATACAGAGAAATTTTGGTTATAAAGAACAGTGCTTGGCGAAAAAGCAAGGGCAAGCACGAAATTACATCATCCCCTAATTCTTCGCAATAGGGGTGATCGAAGTTCCCGACTTGTGCGCTATACAATCTGAATAGGGAAAAAAGGTGGCCAAATTGCATGTAGATTACGGGAAAAATTGTCCGCAGCCGTAATTCTAACGGGAACATGGCGCTCAAGCCCTTCGAATATTTGCATCATTAAAATGCCTAAAATATCAGGTTTTTCCTCATTCCGGTCGGTGTAGGTGCCCTCAAACACGCAATTGCATCAACAAGCACATGGGATCCTACGTATTTTTTCACGAGGAATCGATTTTACCGGTTTTCAAAACGATATATCGTTGTATTTAATCAATATATCGATTTTTCATTCGATTTCTGAGAAAAATTTGGTAATTTTTAACATTAACTGTATCAAATTCTATTAATTAGTGATATATAGGCAAAAGTTTTAATGCATAAGTAAACTAGTGCTCACATAAACTTTTATACACAAGGCACTCAGCTTCAAAGCAGCTTATACTGACCATTCTTCAGTTAGGGTAAGTACTAGACGATGACCGGTATGCCGGGATTCTCGGCGTCTCAGCAATCGCGTTTCATGGCTCATCATTCGAAAAAACATTTTTTCTCGACATCTGACGACGGGTACCTAGTGAAGGTGAGTTGCCTTTTGGCATCGAATGACGAGGAAAAAATCCTGGCTCCATAGGACAACACTTTTATTGAAAACATGAGGTTCGAACTTCCAAAATCTCAAAGAGGGTTATTCATATAGGCGAAAAATGTACCCAGCCCGGAATGTACGAAAGTTTGTGGGCTGATAGTACTAGTTGAGAGAGGCTTATCCCTAGCTCCGTTTTTGCAGGAACCCCAGGGAAACAGCGTTGCCATTTTTTAAAGCCGTAACCTTCAAACATCCATAACTTTCGCAGAAATGCAGTTACAGAGCTCGTATTTATACCAAAAGATGCAAAAAATTACGTTCTATCGACCAATGCCAGAGAAATTTTAATTTCACTCCATTGTTGCCACGTTTTGGCCATTTTTTTAATTTTCGTAATTATTTAAAATCACGTTACCGCCTAAAAAGTGTTTGCGGTTGGTGGGGATTGAATGAAAACCCGTCGGAATTATTGTTCGTTCGATTCCGCATCCATCGATATATTATACTTTTCGTGGTTGGAATTGTTTATTTATCGAATCGATGGTTTCTTCTATCTCTCTGCAACGACAGTGGTGACCGACAGTAACGAGATATCGAAATTTAAAGCTACCGAATTACTCAAGCGGTCCGATGAGTAGTTTTGGCGAGGGGCCTAGATCCATTGCTCTTGATCTTTATACAATATCGATATCTCGGTACTGTCAGGCACCACTGCCGTTGCAGAGAGATAGAAGAAACCATCGATTCGATAAATAAACAATTCTAACCACAGAGTAAGGCTGAACGTGATTAAATAAGTAATACATTTTTTTGTGATTGCGGTGGCGGTTTCCATGAAAACTGGCAACCCCGCCTCTACGCGAATTCCGACGGAAATTAGGCAATGTTGTCAACACCATGTCGCAAATGGTCAGTTTATGTTAACAAATGTAGCTGGATAAGATTAAATGAGTACTACTTTAAATTGTGATCGCAGCGGTGGTTTTCATTGAAAACCGGCAACACCGCCGCGACTTGAATTCCTAAAAATCATGTGAAAGTTTCAAAAAAGCGCAAAACATGAACTGAATTTTCGAATTTTGTTTGGTCTAGGCGTTTTGCTTTAACACGGTGTTGCGAAACGTACCTAAACGGGGGTATCGGGCGTGTTGCCGAATTTTCAAATCGCTACAACTGTTCCACGCTGTTCGCTGTCGCTGTTCCCTAAGTCTCTCAGAAAAGTATAATATATCGATGGATGCGGAATCGAACGAACAATAATTCCGACGGGTTTTCATTCAATCCCCACCAACCGCAAACACTTTTTTAGGCGGTAAAGTGATTTTAAATAATTACGAAAATTAAAAAAATGGCCAAAACGTGGCAACAATGGAGTGAAATTAAAATTTCTCTGGCATTGGTCGATAGAACGTAATTTTTTGCATCTTTTGGTATAAATACGAGCTCTGTAACTGCATTTCTGCGAAAGTTATGGATGTTTGAAGGTTACGGCTTTAAAAAATGGCAACGCTGTTTCCCTGGGGTTCCTGCAAAAACGGAGCTAGGGATAAGCCTCTCTCAACTAGTACTATCAGCCCACAAACTTTCGTACATTCCGGGCTGGGTACATTTTTCGCCTATATGAATAACCCTCTTT